CATGCCCCTCGAGGTCTTTTCTAATACTGAGACTCTTTGATTTTGCCTTCCTTTGGAAGTTCCAATGAGAAGAAGCTCCTATTGCCTAGAGTGCCACACAACAAGAACATGATTATCTGATCAGGGACTACTTTCCTGTGCCTCTCCTGGCCCCAAGAATCAAGGACAGAGACTTCAAATTCCCATGGGATGACACACCGCCACTAAGGGGATGGTGGTTGTCACAGCAAGTATACAGGAGTAGGAAGTAGAATTGACCAGAACTGGAGCTGAAGAATGACCAGGCAAGAAGGCTGCTGGCTGAGTTATGAGGTGGTGAGCTGGCTAAGCCTCAGAAACTTTTAGGGTCTGCCTGGGGTGTGTAGATGCTCGGCAGAGTGGCTGGCTAAGAGCTAAGAGCAGCAGGTGCTCGAGGTTGCCAAGATGTTAGATAGTTTTTCCCCAGTTGTCAGGCAGCATGCTGGGATAGGGTGTGGGTCTGGGGGAGCTTCTTCAGATTACACTGACATTTGGAGAATGGTTACTGAGAGTACTTCTGGTGCTATTTTTTTAAAATTCCTTTTCTGCTACAATGAAATGCCTCTTGCCGTTTCTACTCTGTTGTTTGCTTAGGGTTCTGCAAGCACAGCAGGAACTGAATATCTAGAACTGAGTTTTGGCGTCCCCAGTTTCTTACTGGAGCGGGAGCTCAAGCTATATTTGGTAAACTTAGCAGAAAATGCCACCCAAAAACATGAACCAAAGTCCACAACAGCCTGGTGCTAGCTGGCAAATTTGGAAATTTGTAACATTGTCTAGGATCTTTATAAATTATAAATTAGTTATGGATTGTTAACTGATCATCTAAGAGTGCTTATAGAACATTAGATCGATTTAAAAACTCACTTCTCTAGCACTGTGGGGATCTACTGATTTTTGTGTTGCCATTTTTAAAAGCCTGGGTACATTAACATTTGGAACTTACACTATGGTGATTTGAAAGAAAAAAAAAGTGGGTCTAGGCTAGGCTGCTAGTTTTGGAAGCAGCTTATTCCACGAAATCCTTGCTGACCATCCAGGTAAATCTGAATCTTATTCATGCTGCACATATAGATAAGGACTAGACTCTTATTGGCCAATCTCAGTCCCTTGTTGCATATGCACAGAAGTGCACTATACTAAAGTGTGTGTTGAAGTACCATTGGATACTTGTGTTCTGGGATGAAAAGACACCGCAACTGCCAAGGTATTGGAGAACTGGTGCTCAGGGGTGGGACTAGAGCTTCATTAGGAACTGCCGATATTGGTGTGATGAGCTACTGAAAGGATTTGATGCCCCATTTTGGAATCTTTGAGGGCATGTAAAGCACAGAATAAAATATGCAAGAAGGAAGGCAATGTCACTGCTGTACTGTGTGAACTGCCTCAAAGTAAGGGGGAGTCTCAAATTCACAAAGAGAAAACTGGGGTTTGGGTGGGGAAGACTTGGAAATTCATTACTAGCCTCCCCACTCTTGACCAAGAGGTGGAGAGAAAGTTTAAAACCCTCATGATGAGAACAGGGTGAACTAAGGGTCAACTAAAAGGTAGCGTCCACTTTCCAGTAGCTCATGATCCAGCATCATCACCTTGCCCCTTAGGAAGTCATTCACTAGCAATATGGGTTTTGCCTCAGACCAGGAAGTATAGCTGGGAAAGTTGGCAAGGAAAGTCTCAAGCCTACTGATCCCTGGTTATAAAAGAATTCCATGATTACACTGGATACTTAGGCCAAGAGAAAATTATGGAGGTGGTGCTGAACATGTTCTACCCAAATAAGATGGCAGTAGATAGGTTTAAAAGGCAAAAGTAGGGGTTGATCAAGAGAGTTCCCACATTGACTTGATGAGCTTACAAGTAGGGAGCCTTCATGGAGTGTTTTTGAAAACATCTCCCAATGAATGGTGTGGACATGCCCAACTGGACCTTGCTGAGAGGACTAAAAGCATCTCCAGATTAAATCTCAGTGACTGGGGATGATCCCAAAGATCAATTAGTTGTTTTGGAACTGCCCTTTTGTGCCCCTTGGTTTCATTGACGTGATGCCCATAAAATGAATTGACTGGCTTTCACAGATATTCTGAAGTTCCCCATTATTTGGGGAAGGGTAAGTAAGACCTATAAAAGCCTATAAGAGAGAGACTATAGACACCATTTGGTGTCTCTTTCCCCCCCTTTTCCTGACCTCCACAGAGATCCGGGTAGCATAGTATGAATACCACTTGTTCCACTCCCCTGGGAGCCATTAACAGCAGCTTTGGGAAAAGGCATATGGTGAGTTGAATGACTTAAGAGGAGAATTCTTCTATCTTAAATTCCTGGCTGCTTGTTTTTTCCTTCATTTTTCTCTTTCTGAACATGTCGGGTTGAGAGTATACTAAATCAGCTCAAAGAGATAGCAGAAGCTAGGGTAGAAACAGACCCTCAAGAGGCCCTGGAGAGGCATATGGCAGGGATGAACATTTCTCATCCCAGTGGCTCAAGAGGAGGGTTCCTAAACCCTAATTTCTTACTTGCTTTTTGCCTTTTCCTCTTCCCCGCTTTTTGCAGCACAGGCCAGAGCCGAGAAACGAGAGTAGACTTTCCTGGTGCTAGAGATGGTGGCAGCCAGATCAGTCGTAGATTTCCCGAAGGTGCCTAAGGATTGCTTCTCTAGCAGCCCCAGGTTCAAGAGTTCCAGAATCTAGACTTCTTGTGAGAGAAGGGAGATGTCCTGGGCAACATGATACTGGAACCCAGACGTCTAATCAAAGAAGAGAGGCATGTCTCTGTCAGTCTCAGGATTTACTTCGTGGGTTAACCCCAAGTTTGAGATTCATTGTGAGAGAGCTTCTAGAGGACAGAAGAGGATAACACAAGAGGCTCTTGGTGCCGGGAAGAAGGTCAGCAAGAGACCAAAGCCAGGATGACATGGAGGAGCAAGGAATTTGTACCTTGTCCTCTGCTCTTACCGACAGTTATTTGGACAGGTTTAATCCACTTGCAAGCAGAATTGCTTATCCTGAAGCCCCAAGTGCCAGGCTGGGTAGAGTTTTCAAAGTTATATAGAGGAGCTTACGTCTTGTCCTAGAGGCAATAGGAAGCCACTGGAATTGGCTGAGCAGCAAAGTCGCATCTGTACTTGAGGAAAATACGTCAGTGGTAACGTACAGGAAGAACTGGAGCAAGGAGAAAGACTTGAGGCAGGGAAATCAGTTAGAAGTCTGTTGCAATAATCTAGACAAGAGGGGATAAGGGTCTGAACTAAGGTGGTAACTGGAAGGAAGGGTTGGATATCAGAAATGTGCAAGTTTCTCAAGGCACAACTAGTCTTTGCAGAAATCAAGAATTCTTACCATTTTCAAGCAGCCCAACAGCTAGAACATCTTAACTACGCATTGACGAATATGCTCGGGATCCAGAGGCACGAGCGGTAGGCTCAGCGGAGTCCATATGTGGCCTTCCTGGCCAGGCATGTAATGCCACCAGGAATACTGTCACAGGCTTTATCCCATGCTCGGCTGAAAGTTCGATGAGAGTCAAAGTTACCCGCTGATCTGTGCTTTGGAGTCTTGGAAGATGGAAAAGTAGAGACTCCAGACTAGTGTATCGTTTAATTGAGAGTTAAGTTAAAGGAGACCTACAATCTCATCACAACATCAGCTTAGAAGAGTTCAGAAAGAAGTAAGAGTGTGATAGAAAAAGTTTGCTTTCAAGAACTCCAGCCAGGGGATATAGTCCTGTGAAAAAAAATCTTGATATCCAGGGGAAACCTATCCATGAGTTGTAGATAGACAGTTGGTGCCAGATGATGGCCCACATGGAGCTTCTGGATGCAGAGGAAGCGGCAAGTTGGTACCCTCTTGAGGGCTGCATAAGCCTTCTAAGAGAGCCCCAGCCTAAGAGAGCATTGCGTAGGCAGGGTGAGGCCTGAACCTCTCCTACTGGGTTCTGTAGCTGCACAGCCCCACCCCCACTCCTTCCCCAAACAGAGACCACCTAGACTTCTTGACTCATTAGGCTCTGGAGATGACACCAGTTGGCCTGGGACATCTATAAGTGAAAATTGGAATTGCTGGCTAGTGTATCTGAGGCTAATAACCCAATCCAAAATGAGCATGAAGAAGTGGCAAGGACACCACAGAAATTGACAAGACTATTAGGCTAGTGACCAGGCAGACATATGATGCCCCATCCCCCTCAATGGGGGAGAGGTGGCTGATGTAGCCTGAGACCAAACTGTGCTCAGACAAAATCAAAGGCCTGCTGGCAGTCTTGTGCTGGGGAGGGAGGTGGGACTGAGTTTGAGAATAAACTGATAATAAGGGACATAGGTTCCCCTGTGTCTAGCAAGACCACCCCCTGCTCAAACTTCCCAGGAAATCATGAGGAAAAAAATCCCAGGATACCAATGTTGGGGCAGACTCCTTCTGATCCACACAGCAGTCACTCTAAATTAGAGATTTTTAACAATGGGTCCACAGACTCCCAAGGGATCAGCAGATAGATTTCAGGAACTTGGATAGGAAAGAAAATTATCTTTATATTTATATTATATATATAAATATATATATAATATATAATTATATAAAATTATCTTTATATTTATGAACCTTTAACTGAAATTTATGAATGTTCCTTCAATTCTGAAACTAGGTCTCAGACATTAATCTGGGAAGGGGTCCCTAGGTTTCACCAGACTGCCAAAGGGAGCCCAGATACAAAATAAAGTGAAGAAATCTTGCTCTAAAAGACTTTATCTGCTTTATCTTCTGGGTTAAGCCAATAGGCCTAGAGTGTTATCAGAGCCTTCCTCATTCTCCCACCTCAAAAAAAAGAAAAAATCTCCACCTGCAAGACAAAGTGCCTGAATTACCATAAATAAGGGAAAGTCCTCATTCCACAATCTGGGAGGGAAGTTTTAAAATGCAAACACCAGACACAGGTAACACTTCAGTGTGAATGAGCTTCAATATCGGCTGGGGGAAAAAAAAAAAGGTCAATCAGTGGAGGTAAATGGCCAGGGTAGGGGAGGTTGGGAGGGTCAGGGAGCCGAAGGAAAGACTGGGAAGGTGGAAGCTGGGAATGAGAAGCCCCTGCTGGTAGAAGGCAGTACATGCCACTGAAGTCTCCACGATGCCTTCCATGATGGTCTGGAGGTGGTCACAGAGTCTTGGATTTAGAAGGGCCCTCTGAGGCCATCCAGACAAACCCATGACTGAACAAGATTCCTTTACGGTGTCTGCACCAAGTGCTCATCTGAATTGTGCTCAAAGTGAGGAGGGGGAGGCACTCCCGCCTGGGAAAGCCTATTCCACCTTGGGCTGAAGAAATGAGGAAATATATCCTTACCTCAAGCCTCGGCAACCGATCCTTCTTCCACAAGCTAGTTATTTGAAGATAGCTTGGCTCTATCCTTACTAGCTGAGTAACCCTGGGCAAGTCACAACACTTGTCTGATTCTCCATTTCTGAATCTGCAAAATGAGGAAATGTGGTCTTGGGGTCATTGAGTTTTAATCCCAGCTCTGCTGTTTCCTCTCAATGAATCCTAGCACTAAGCGCATAGCAGGCACTTAATACGTGTTTATTGATTGATTAATCTACGTGGTCTTGGATGAGTTAATCCCGTCTCCCAATTCTAGCCTCACTGCACTGTTTCCCTCCTCAAAATGGCAATACTGTGGCTCTGAGAAAACTTGGGTGCTTATTCTGAAAAACTCCCCATCTTTGATCACAGTCACAATAAGCATTTATAAAGCACCTACCATGATGCCAGGCACTGTGCTAAGCACTGGGGATACAAAGAAAGGATGCAGAGGACAATCCCTGCCCTCGAGGAGCTCATGATCTAATGGGGGAGACAGTTAGCAAACAATGATGTTTAGGACTAGGAGAAGGCACCAGAGTTAAGAGGGATTGGGAAAGAATTCTTGCGGGAGCAGAATTTTGATTGGGACTTGAAGGAAGCTGGGAGGCAGAGATGAGAAGGGAGAGCAGTGCAGGCATGGGGGACAGTCAGAGAAAAAGCCAAGAGACGGAACGTCTTATGTGGAACAGCCAGGAGACCAGTATCACTGGATGGAAGACTACATGTCAGGGAGTAAGAAGACTGGAAAGGTAGGAGGGGGCTCGGTTATGATGGGGTTTGAACGCCAAACGGGATTTTATATCTGCTTCTAAAGGTGACCCAACGGGGTTTATAGAGCAGAAGGTCGACGTAGACCTGCATTTCAGGAAAATCACTTTGGCAGCTGAATGGAGGATAGTTTGGGGACACTCGAGGCAGGCAGACCCTCCAGAAGATTACTGCAATAGTCCAGGCATGAGCTGAGGGAATGTGCCAGAGGGGTGGCAGTGTCAGAGGAGAGAAGGGTGCACGGTGAAATTGTCAGGCCTTGGCAACAGATGGGATATGGCGGGGTGAGAGATAGTGAGTGCAGAATGACTCCTAGATTGTGAGCCTGGGGGAATGGGAGATCTGTGTTGCCCTCCACAGTAATAGAGAAGTCTGGAAAGGGGAAAGCTTCAGGAGGAAAGGTTTTGGACACACTGAATTAACATGGCTATTGCACATCTATCTGGAGATGTCTCAAAAGCAGCTGGAAATGTGACACTGGAGGTCAACAGAAAGTCTGGGGCAAGCTAGGTAGGTTTGAGCAACATCAGAATATTCATCACAAAGAATTCTGAGCACATATCATTGAAAAACCAACCCCATCACTAGGGAAGAGTATCAAATACTAAGTAGATATACAACCCTATTGATTATGAATCAGTAAATCCACCTTTGTATATATTTTGTTGTTGGGTGTTTTTTTTAACCTGTACAGTCCCCTACTGGCCTGAATGAATTAATGCACCTTCTCAAACACCTTCCCTACCAAGAACAGAGAGCAACATTCTTTTGTAGGATTAGCACAATGCCTTGAAGACAGTAGGTGCTTAATGAATATTTGCTGAATTTAATTGAAACCATATGGCTTTTTAAAGTTCACAAAGCACTTTTCACACTGTCTCATTCGTGCCTTACAACAGCCCTAGGAAGTAAATGGTTCAAATATTTACTTCATTTTACAGATGAAGAAACGAAGTCTCTGAAAGGCCTTAATCTAGATGCCACCTCCTAGAAGAAGCCTTCCAGACTTCCTGGGTTGCTAACGCTCTCTCTCTCTCCTTAAAATGATTTTGTGCTTACTTACCTCTAATAAAATGAGCTCCTTGAAGGTAGAGACTGTTTTTGTTTTATCTCTGCATCCTCAGCATTTAGCACACAGTGTGGCACAAAGCAGGTTTTTTTTCTTTTTAATGCTTTTACTGTTACAGATTTAGCTGGACCAGGAAGTTGATACTTCACCGCTGGAGAGTTCATAAGAAGAGCAACAATAGCAAGGAAGATACCAATCAGAACATAAACTCATACTTTAGGGTTGGGGCGGGGCAGCTTAATTTAATCCTTTTATTTAACAGAAGACACCGAGGCCCAAAGAAACCAAAGGACTTGGCCAAAGGCATAGAGGTCTTCTGATTCCGAATTTAGGGTCCTTTCCATGATACCAAACTGCTTTCCTTTTTTTTTTTTTTTTTTTTTTTTGTGAGGCAATTGGGGTTAAGTGATTTGCCCAGAGTCACACAGCTAGTGAATGTTATGTGTCTGAGGGCAGATTTGAACTCAGGTCCTCCTGACTCCAAGGCCGGTGCTCTATCCACTGCGCCACCTAGCTGCCCCAAACTTGTTGCCCCAAACTGCTTTCCTAACCATATTTTCACGAGCCAGCACGCTCAGAGGAAGACATGAATGCATGAATGAGAAAACATTTATTGTTTACTATATGCCAAGCACTGTGCTACACACCGTAGATACCAATAGAAAATGAGATAGGCTCTGTTTCCAAGGAGCTCAGATTTCAACTGGAGTCAACACAAATAGAGTTAAGCCTATAGGATGTATAGAAAAGCTTAGTGGTCCTCAGGGAGTAGTGGGACGTCAGATAACATGGGTCTAGATGGGATTTAGAGGACACAGTGGCAGGTCAGAGGATAAGGCCTGGTGGTCTTCTATCTTATTGGAAAGATTAGAGTTGATGACACACTGCTTATCCAAGCTGTGAGCATCCATGTCTGCACCGATCCCACCCCCACAGCCCAAGATCTGAAAGTTGGGAAATGGGGAGGGTGCCTGAGGGTCTGAATAAAGCAGGGGCCTCTAGGTCACCACCTGGTGGGGGACAAAAGGTCACATCAGTCTTCAGAGACAACAACATGCCAACATTAGGGAAACCTAAGGACCCTAAATAAGGCAACCATACCCTTCTTAAGCATCCGGCATCTAAAGCTCTCTCTGTAAACAAATAACAAAATCCACCAAAGGTTCCGTGTTGTGCTCCGTGTAATTGACTATTGGTAACAGGTACCATCTCCTTATATCTCCCAGTTTTACTTACACACACACACACACACACACACACGTCATTAGCAGTCAGCCCAGTGGCGGCTGGCTCTGATGCTTTCCCTAGCCATTATCCCGACCCAAGCTAGCTGTTATCAGCTTCACTATTTTCTCCAGCCATAGTGCCTTCAAGAAGATGGCATTATTGTGCTTTCACTGAATAGCTAATTCTCTCTCTTGCTTATAAATACCCTATATCAGTATCCCAAAGAGATCATAAAAAAGGGAAAAAGATTTACGTGTGCAAAAATAATGCATGTGCTATAAATTTTGTGGTGGCAAAATGTTGGAAATTGAGAGGATGCCCATTGATTGGGGAATGGCTGAACAAGTTGAGGTATATGTGTAGTGGAATACTATCGTACAACAAGAAACGATGAGCAGGCAGATTTCAGAAAACCCTGGAAGGACTTGTATGAACTGATGCAAAGTGAAATGAGCAGAACCAGATTCCCAAAGGGGTCCACGACACATACAAAATTTAAGAATTTCTGGTTTAAAGGAAAGTGAAACCTAAGATGAGTAAAGAGATAGGAAGAAAGATCCCAGAGTATGGAGCTGGAAAGCACTTTGGGGGTTATCTAATCCAATCACTTTACCTATGAAGAAAACAACACTGAAACAAGTTAAGTGATTTGCCTAAGGTCACGTAGCAAATGAGGGGGCCATAATTCAACCAAACTCTCCTAAAATTCAAAATGCAATCAATGTGCTTTCCACTAAACAACATGTCTGACCTCAATGAATGCAAGCCCATTGACTCCACACAAATTACATTCTGGGGTGCTGAACAAATGTCTAGGGATGACTGCTGAATTACTGTCCAAGATCTTTAAGAAACCCTGGGGTGTGAATAAGGAGGTGTCCTAGGACAGAAGACAGGTAAATATCCCGATTTTCAAAAATGGCAAACACTTCAAACCTAAGGCTGGTGGAGTTGACATCCATTTTAAAAGCAACAACAGCAAAAAGCCTAGGCTGGATTATTTAAAAGTTGGTGTCTGAATACCTGAAAAAGCAGTGATCACTTTTGTTGTCATTGAGTCCTCTCAGTCATGTCTTACTATTCATGACCCCATCTGGGGTTTTCTTGGCAGAGATACTGGAGTGGTTTGCCATTTCCTTCTCCAGGTCATTTTACAGATGAGGAAACTGAGGCAAACAGAGTTAAGTGACTTGCCCAGGGTCACACAGCTAGTAATTGGAGCTGGATTTGAACTTAGGAAGATGAGTCTTCCTGACTCCAGGCCTGGCACTCTATCCACTGTGATACTTAGCTGCCCTTTCAGTGATCACTAAAAGCATATAAATTCATTAAGAATATTGCATTTCAATTACTCCAGCAATGTCAATGGTTCTTTCCAGAGCCACAACAAAACATCAAAAGTGAATGTTGGAAAATGACACAAAACAACACCCCCAACCCTATGCCTTTGTAGAAGATACACAAGTGTGGTACATTGTACATAGTTTCTGACTTTTCTAATTCCTTGATCAGTTTTGCTGATTTTTTTTTCTTTAAAAATGTTATTTTTTATATGGGATCAATCTCTGGGAGGGGGGACATTGGGGAAAATTTAGATGAAGTGAAAAACCAAAAGACACTAATAAAATGAATTTTAAAAAATAATGTGCCTTACCAACTTCATTTCCTTTTCTGACAAGGTTAGGAGACTTGCAAATCAGGGGAATATAGAAGCATGGA